TCTTCTCATAAAATGAGAGCCATAGACTCAAACTAATGGAGTAGTTACAAAATCATAGTACACATCATTATTGTAGATAAAATTGCTGTTTGCTGAAAAATGAGAGAATGAGTGAATATGATTATCAATCGAACTTTGACAAGTTTGACAGTCTGTTAAGTCATCTGCTCACTGAAGACGTCTATTAACCCCCAATTAGAAAGCCGTACGATTAAAACAGGACACGAGAAGGAGGTTGAGCACCGACTTCTAAAAATAAAGGGCCAATCATCACTCGATAACCTGCTCATCGATTACGTCAAGTCATTCAGGCTTTGACACCAGCTGAAAGTAAGTTAGATGATAACGGGAAGAAGCTCCGCTTTGTTCACTGTGGACTGTACATCTACAGTAATACCTGCAGTGTTAAAATGAGGTTACATGCGTTGTTTGGTTGGTGTGTTTTTGTTTTGGTCTTGTTTTATACACAGATACAAGGTAAGTTATCGAGTATAAAAAAGTACTTTAATAGTGTTAAAAAAGGTGGTAATTTCAGAAAACGAAATTTATCGATACTCTTTCACAATTATTACGAGATCTCAAATTTGCACCAAGAAAACCAGTGGGAATTTAGATGAAAAGTTTATATCTCTTTCATACCAAAGTATTGGTTTTTATAAAAACTTAAACGAAATAACACAAAGTCTCTAGCGCAAAAAAGTAAGGTCTTTTATGTGTGTAAATAACAATACGTTACCATGGATATTCCCTACAAAACCTGCCCTTTTTCTTGCCTTATAGATATCAATATGAGCTTATTTAATAATCATAACATTACATGGGCACTTGAAGATACGATTTTTTTCTTCGAATGTTCCATTGACAAATCATTGATGTCAATGAACAAAACATTAGAAGATAAAATCCACATCTTCCCTCGCCCATGTAATTTCTTATATATCTTAGTTAGTGATTTTCCTTGGTATGTGGAAATTATAACAACTTATATTACTGCTATCGCACGTTCTATAAAGAAAAATCATATACGTTATAGACAATGAAGACTTTTATGTTAATCATGTTTATCGCGTTTTCTTTTTTTAATTGAATATTCATTTGCGCTTTCGCAACATAACCTTTATTGACTTGCAGCGAGAAAGAAAATCATCATTTGGTATCTAAGGCCTAGTTTCTTTTTGCTTTTTTTTTCTTAATCAATCTTTTTGGAAATTTTTAAAATCCTCAAATCTGTAGGCATCGGTTATATTTTTAAGAGAAACGAAAGTATTAGAAAATCATTCAAAAGCCTAAGATGTAGCCGTATGAAATGCAGAATACTAAAGAAATTCTTCGTGAAAGGGTCAATTCACTGACAACAGACGAAGCAATTACTGTAGCCGGTTGTAAGAAGGGTGAATAAAGTATCCACTCCTTGACAAAAGACTTTTTGTGGATTTTATCCCTTGGTTAAAGATTAATCCGGTGGATAATGGCGATATTCACCCTTCCTCCGACCTGCCAATGGCAGTAACTAAATGAAAATGTTTTTGCGCATTGTCAATTATAGAATTATAAAACATCTGGTCAGTAAATGTCAGCTTTACGGCATTTACTTGATAATATGACACAA